TAGATCTCAGCTAACAGCTCATACCAGGGGCAGACTGGCCTGGTCAAAATAATTGCAGGACTCTTTGTCTAGTTGCGTGTCTGTCTGTAAGACAGGAGTGTGATTAAAATCTACCATGGCAATTTTTTAAAAACAAATTTATTTTCGTTAATGTTTTTCAAGTCTTTCTACTTCATCTCCCTCCATGGTACTCTTCTGTCTCCCATAGCAACTGCACCATCCTCTGTACTTGTGGCCCTGCATTCCCTCCTATCCCTGGTACACACTCTACACTGACACCAAGGCAATCTTTGGACAGACAAATCCAATCACACCACTTTTCTCCGCACTTGATCCTGCAAGATCTGACCCTGCAGGATCTTCTCTCTAACCGCCTCTTGTTTTCATGTCCCTTCTCCACTGTTCTTATTTCAGCCTCCAACTGGCTAAGAACTATTCCCAGGGCTTTCGTAATTGTGGGTACCCTGCAGAATGCACATTCTTTTTTTTTTTTTTTTTGTGGCTAACTGCTGTTCAGATATGGGTTTACATATCACTTCCTCTCAGACTCCCTCATCTGAAATAATCTATCCCTCTAGATTACCTCATGAGTCCCATGCTTTTCCTGAACAGCGTGCACAGAGATGGGGACACTAGAGTGTGGTGTGGCTGTTAGGCTGTATGCTCCTCGGGGCAGGGATCATTGTGTTTTGTGGATCCTTGTATGCCAAGCATCTCACGCTGTTCATGGTACATGGGGAGGAGTGTCAGAAATACATGTCTAATGAATGATGTTATTGCTCCATGCTTAAAACCTTCATCTTGTAAGGAAACTCTTTCAGGTATAGGATGAGAAGAGAGAGGTGAAACGCTCTCGCTTCCTAGAACACTCATTAAGATGGGAAGTAAACAACTCAAAATAGCTTCTGGAAGTTCCTGAAATTGACTAGATTAATGGGGCCCCTTTCTCCTCAATCATATGTAAGCAGTAAAGACTGCCAAGGTTCTTAGAAGAGACTCAGAGAAACCTGGAAAAAGCAGAGACCCGCTGAACTGCCAGGAAGAGACTCAGACCAATCAAGCCACCAGTAAGGACACTCCCCAACCTGGTGAGCTGCCTGCCAGTTGTGCAGTGAGCTCCAGGTTTCTAGTTTCTCATGTCACCCACACTGGGGTGGGCTTTGGTGATACAGCTATCTTTGAGTCATTTGCTCCCGTAAGTTACCCCTTCCCAAACCCTTGTAAGTAACCTCATTGATTTGCCACATGGGACTTCAGTGGTATCCGTACTTTGGCCTGCCACTGGTTCCCTGCCTGGGGTGAGAAGACATTTCTTCATGTCTTCTCAGGAATAGTCACACCGCAATAAACAAGTACCAGCTGCCCCATCTCGTCTATTCATTCATCCCAAATGCCTCAAGCATTCCAGACCTACGGGTGTAAAGTAGGGGATTTTCTCTGTGATGTTCATGTGACTGAGGCTTCTGCCTCTGCCCTCAGATACTCCGCTGGGTTTTTCTGGGAAACTCTGTCTACTCATGCCCATTGTGCCCAACATGCTCCGCTCATTGTGTTTTGGATTGCTCTGAATCACGTGTGTCAACTGGTGAAATGGTCTGACTCTTCAGGCTATGGAATCTGCCCCGGGATCCATGTGTCAAGGAGAAAGGGGGAGGGAATGGGCTGGAGGATGGCCAGTGCCCAGTGCTAAAAACATGCCACAGTTGGGCCCAGGGTCCCTCACAGTCTCCCATGAGCTCTGCTTGTACCTTCTCACCTGAGCTCTCTCTCCATCAGACAAAATGGGAATGACAGCCTTCCCCTCCCCCCATGTTGTCTCCTCTCTCCTTGGTGCATGTCTCTTCTTCGGGTAAAGAGAGCCACACCACACTGCTTTATTTGTGCAGCAAATAACACATAGGGACCAATGCGTGGCACACAGTTCTATGCTGGAGCTTGGCTACAATTAGGTCATTAAATCAGCAAGTGTTTGCATAGCAGCTCTTACGGGTCTGGTAAGATCAGTCACGAGGTTCCTCACTCACATCTCCTGCTTTGCCCAATCCATGCCCACACCACAGCTACTGTCTCGTTGTCACTTTTTCCCCAGTGACCGCACCGGCCTCTGCACTGTTCCCTTGCTTCCTTTCCGCCGTAGGCTTCCTTTGATCTAGCCCCGAATGGCTGCCAGACAGATCTTATGAACATGTAAAGCAGATGACATTAGGCTCTTATTCAAATCCTTCAGGGGCTCCCATAGCTCTCAGCTTCAAGTCCTTAGCATTCCACTCCAGGCATTTGTGATCTGCCTGCTGCGTATTTGTTCAGTCACGTCCCCAGCTTTCCTCTCCTGAGCCTTCTCAGTCAGCCCCACTGTGGTCCCAGAGTGACTCATACTGTCTTCAACCTCCACCTCTCCTACCTTCGGTTCCTTTCGCTTGGAATGCCTTTCTTCCAACATTGTTGTTGTTGTTGTTGTTGTGTTTTAGACTAGAGTGATGCCGGATTAGTTCTGCAGCTATTTTGTTCAGTGTGGCGGCCATTCACCGTGTGTAGCTATTAAATACTTGATTATTACTTTTTTTTTCAGAGGCAGAGTTTCTCTGTGTAGGCCTGGCTATCCTGGAACTCACTCTGTAGATCAAGCTGGCCTTGAACTCAGAGATCCATCCGCCTCTGCCTCCCAAGAGCTGGGATTAAAGGTGTGCGCCACCACTACCCACTTACATTTTGAATTTTTTATTTAATTGTCTGAAGAGGGTCTCATGTAGCCCTGGTAGGCACTGAATTGGATACATAGCAGGAGATGAACTTGAAATTCTGATCCTCCACCTCTTGGGTGCTGGAATTATACCCATGTGCCTCCACACCCAGTTTGCAACTGGATACTTAAAATATGGCTAAAACAAGTGATTCGTATGTCGCTAGTGCTACCTTACTTGGTAGCATGGATCCAGACACGAATTCTTAGCTCAAAATTTAAGTTACCCTCTAGGAACTGCCTCATTGCCATGGCTAATACACATGCCCCTCCCTAATATACATGCCTAAAGCATCATCGCTCCAATTCTGTTCCAACACTGAAAACACTGTACGGTATTGAGTGATTTGTTGCTCTGCTCCACACCTAGATTGGATGGCTCAAGGCAAACAGCTCACTCAGCGAGCGGTTGATACATGAAGGCTGGCTGTGCTGGTGAGGGCTTAACAAGAGGCTCTGAGAGAAAAGCCCTGATTAGCGTTCTTTTCCCATTCTGTGATGTAGACTCTGCATGCTAAAGGAATGAGAAGACAAGCCCCAGCCTTCAAGAAAACCTTTGCCAAAGACAAATCTTAGGGGAGTGAGGACAAGAAAAGGCAGTTAATATATTTAGGGGAGTGAGGAACAAGAAAAGGCAGTTAATAAACTTATAATTTTATATAAAATATCTTATATAAATTTCAATATCATGTTTATATATACAATGAAGGCTAAAGGGGGAACTATGTGTGGGGAGGCAGGATGACCAGCAAGAGGGGCAGAGAGGGAAAAGGGGAGGGGTGTGGAGAAGGAACTAAGAGCAAAGGGTAGTATCTATGTATGAGGGTGTCACAATGAAACCAATTTCTTTGTAAGTTAACCAAAAATTATGTTTAAAAAAAGGGCAAGTCTAGGCTGGGACTGAGGTTAAGTTGTTAGAGTGCTTGTCTAGCATACTTGAGCCTTGGCTTCAATCCCCAGCACCACATAAACAGGAGTGGTGATACGTGATCGTAATCGCAGCACTTGGGAAACAGATGCAGGAGAATGAACCATCCAAGGTTATCTTGGAAAATAGATGCAGGAGAGTGAACCATCCAAGGTTATCTTCAACTATGGTCGGTGTGAGGACAGCCTGGGACTATGTGAGGCCCAGCCTTAAAAGAAAGAGAGAGACTGAGAGAAAGAAAGAAAGATCTGATATGGCATTACTACACAAATTTTACCTAAGAGAGCTCAGTGCAGAGAGAGAATTGCCACTTTTTAATATAATTTTTAAAAACTATTTTGCTATGTTTTCGTCTGTATGAGTTTTTGCCTGCATGAATGTCTGTGTACCGTGTGGGTGCCTGGTGTCCATGGAGACCAGAAGAGGGCACTGGATCCCCTGGAACTGGAGTTATGGGCAGCCGTGAGTCACATGAGCACTGGCACTCAGACTGGGGTCCTCTGGAAGAGCAGCCAGTGCTCTTAACCGCTGAGTCATCTCTCCAGTCCCCAGGATTGTCACTCTTGAAACTTTATTAGAAGAACTTAGCAACTTAGTTAAAAACTAGTCAAAAGACCTGAACAGACCTCACTGAAGACAAGTCCAGAGGGCAACAAGCATCCTTTTGAGATGCCTGAGATCATATGCCTTTAGGGAGTTACAGTATAAAACAGCAGTGAACTAACACTACCCAGTTCAAAACACTGCAGACGGCGATCGCTGGTAAAGATGTGAAATCATCGGAGCACTTGGCACTGGTAGAAATGCAACATGCAAGGTCACATTCAAAGACAGACTGGTGGCCTCTTACCATGGGACCCAGCACCCACATTGCTTGTGGTTGCTGAAACTTATAAACTCAAAATCTTATACATTTTAGCAGCTGTATTCAGAATTTCCAAAATGGAAGTAAGTACAAAGCCCTTCAGTAAGTAAATGGGTTAGGTACAGAAAAGAAACTTTATTTCAGTGCTTTGTTTTTAAGTGAGCAATTGCTAGGTGAGGGGCTCATACTTGTAAGCCCAGTCCTCAGGAGTGAGTTTCAGGCCAGACTGGACAGTGTAAAAACCTGGCTTAAAAAAACCAAAATCACATGCATATTACTAAGGGGGAAAAAAACAAAAAACCCTCTCTGAAAGACTGCATACTGTCTGATTGCAACCTTACATCTTCAACAAGCTAAGATGTTGGAAAGAATATAAAGACGAGGGTCACATCCAGGTATGATGCTGGGCACAAGTAAGTCCAGAACTTGGGAGACGGGATGTCCATGAATTCAAGACTAGCCAGAGCTGCAAAGTACAACTACATCTCAAAAGCAAATTTTTATTGTTTCATTTGAGATAGGGTCTTAGGCCTTTTGGCTTTGCCTCCAACTTAGAATGTAGTGGAGGATGACTTGAACTTCTGGTCCTTCTGTTTCTACCTCCCGAGTGCTGGGATTGCAGGATTTAACTACTGTGTTCCATTTATGGCACACTGAGGTTAGGATCCAAGGCCTTGAGCCCACTGCAAGCACTTTGCCAATTTAGCCACATCTTCATCCCCCCAAACAGCCTTCGTTGTGTTTTGTTTTAAATAAAACAAAATGACTTAGGAGGCAGAGGTGAGTGGATTGCCACAGGCTTGAGGCCCAGCCTGGTCTACATAGTGAGTTCCACTCCTTCTCGGGCTACATAGAAAGACTTGTTCTCATAACAAACAACAGCCCAAATGTTTTAATTAATAAAGTAAAAATTTCTGAGGGATGGAGGAATGGATAGACCAAGCATGGAGACTGTTTAGGACAGGCCAGATACTCTGTGTGCTACACAGAGCTGGTGCAAGTCTGTCTGCTGAGACCATGGAAAGTGCAGCCGTCAGGATGAGTGTGGACTTCGGGTGACAATGCTTCGGTATAGATTCATCAACTGTTGCAGACACATCACTCTGTCACTGGATGTTGACAGTAGGAAAGGCTGTGCATGTCTCTGGGGAGTTCTGTATCTCCTGTTTTGTTGTGAGCCTAAAATTGCTGAAAAGAAAGTTCCAGTTAGAAATAATAATAATAACAACCTGACTGCCACCATGTCTGACTTACGGAACTTGCAGTGGGAAAGAGACTTGTGTGGTTGGCTCTAGGGAACAGATGGAAACCCACTCCAGGATGACCTCATTCCTGTACAAATGGAGCATCCTGGGCGTGGGAAGGCGTGGAGGGGTAGTCAGACCTGCAAGAGGCCGGGCATGCAACTACAGGTAGATCATGGTCCTAGCCTGGAGTTAAAGATTGGGGAGTCTGGCAGATCTTTGATTTATTCCGAAAGAAATATGTTTGGTATTTTATTTGTTTGTTTGTATCAAGAATTGCCCCGGGCATCTCCTGAGTTGCTCATTCAGCCTGGACCTGAGATGTGAAGACGGAGGCTTGACCAGACGTACCTTAACAGGGTGTCATGGTCTACCAGAAAGAGGGGTGCAAAAGTGGGCAGTGCCTAGCTTGCTTGCTTCATGGAGGCAACAATGTCATCCCCTACCCCCCTGAGCAACATCAGTGCCTCCTCTCAGGGGTTGTTGCAATTCCCAGCATGACATGCAGACATGGCAATGTCTGAGGAAGATGAGTTCCCCCACACACACAAGTTTAGCTAGTGAAATTCTCAGCAGTCACCCCCATCCCAGATTCCATGGCCAAGATAGGATCATATGTCACTCCTCAACCTGCCACATCCAAAAGAATGAGCCAACCACCATTGGCTAAACCCTTGAGGAAGAAACCTATAGGAGGTAGAACTGGGCCGGGCAGGTGGGGTTCCATCCACAGGAAGGAGTAGATGTGGATGAGTGTTAAGACCAGGTCTACAAGGAATATTAGAGGAAGAACCAGCTTGTTTATGACCAACAGGTCATTCCATAAACTTATCTTGGCATAAAAAAGGGACAAGAAGGAGGCTGAATGAATAATCCTCTGCTCCCTCCACAAATGAAATGTCTACACAGATGTATGTGTGTAACCTTCTGCCAGCCTTTGTTGGCGGACTCCCCCATCCAGAGTAGGCCAGCAAGTCAATGGGGATGGGCTCCATGTTGTGCAAAAGAATCAGTGCTGCACACAGGGAGAAGGATTTATGTTTGCATTGTGGACGAAGCCCAGGCTAGCTCTGAGCTGTGCTATAGTCCCAGCATTTGCTGGTCCTGATGTGAGATTCCTATACCTAGGTGCTCCCAGTTAGGCCTCTATGCAGGTCATTTGTGGCCATCCCATTTCTCTACCTCTGAATTCCCCAGGGGAGGCAGCAAGTGGTGTCTCATTCCCCAGCTCTGACCTGGTTATGGGGAGTTGCTAGGTAACTGCTTCCCACGCTGGAGGAGGCTTAGTTACCATGGCAAGTCCAGATGGGTTGTTGGGGGGGTGCAAAAGAAAGGGAGGGGAATGAACAGCAGCCTTGACTGTCTTCACTCTCTCCAGAGGTACTGAAGCTCAGGGCAATGCTTCAGTCTCTCGGAACCTCAATGTCTTTATCAGTAAACAAAAGGCAAGACACTTCTTGCTCTAAACACTTAGTGCATGCAGATAGCATATGCTCAGTGAACAACTGGTGCACAGTCCCTCTTTGGCAGGGTTCAACTTAGGGAAGATGCAGACAGGATGAAGTGTGTCATTTTAAAAAGCAAATAGAGGAGTTAGTAAGTGTGTATCTCCATTACGACAAACAGAACTTGGGGAAATTCTGCCTTCTATTGGTAATTTAATTTTTTGAATGTTTTTATTGGTTTGCTTATTTTCAGGCAGGGTCTCATCATGTAGCCCTGACTGTCCTAGAACTCTTTATGTAGAGATAGACCAGACTGCCTTCAAATTCTCAAAGAGATCCACACCTCTGCCTCTCGTGTTCCAGGATTAAAGGAGTGCACCACTGTGCTCTCCTAACTTCAAGGATTTATATTCATAAGACCTTGGGGCTCTGTGGCTCTATTTCTGAACCTAGACTTCCTTTTTCTTTCTCTTCCTTTCTTTATGTATTTTATTCTGTCTCTTTGTGCTGGGTATGGAACTCAGGACCTGGTGCAGACCAGGTTCGTGCTCTACTACTGAGCCACATCCTCAGCTGCTTCATTCACTCTTTTGTTTGTTTTGCTTTGTTTCTCTGTGTAGCCCCAACTGCCCTGGAACTCATGCTGTAGACCAGGCTGGCCTCGAATTCACAGAGTTCCTGCCTCTGCCTCCTGAGTGCTGGGATTAAAGGTGTGAGCCACCACTGTCCAGCTGCTTCATTGACTCTTATACTCCCAGGACACCTTTCTCAACCCCATACCAGTGTATCAGGGTGAGGCCCCTTCAGATATCCCATGGATATCTGCAGTATCCAGTATTGCATGTTCTAGACGGATCTCCTGACTCCTTTCCTGGTTCTTCTAGGTTTCCTACATCCAAAATGACATAAGCATCTCCTTTCTGCCATGTTTCCCCCCTCACAGTCACTGGACCAAAAGAGACTTAGTCTGTCATGTTCCCCAGGGGAGGCAGCAAGTGATGTCTCATTCCCTATCCATTGGAACAGTGTCCTATCCATCCCTGCCATCACCACTCTCTCCTGTCAACCTAGGGGACTGGGATGTAGTACCAGAGTGCATGCTTATCATAATGAGGACATGGAAGGCAAACAACTCAACTGAATATGTGTTTTCAGCCATTTGGGTGAACAGTGTGTCTGTGTGTGCGCGTGTGCATGCACATACATACCTGCACATGCACATTTAGAAAGGCTATGTTGTTAGGAATACAACATGGTGCACATTTTTAATTATCTTTATAGAAAACAAGTACTGATGCCGGGCGGTGGTGGCACCCACCTTTAATCCCAGCACTTGGGGGGCAGAGGCAGGCAGATCTCTGTGAGTTCAAGGCTGGCCTGGCCTATAAGTGCTAGTTCCAGGACAGCCAGGGCTGTTACACAGAGAAACCCTGTCTCGAAAAAACAAAATACAAGCAAACAAAAAAGAAATAAAACAAGTGCTGAGCAGGGTGGCTCCCATCTGTAATCTCAGCACTTGGGAGAAGGAAGAAGAATGGCCGTGAGTTTAAGCCCAGGTAGAGTGACCTAGCGAGACTTTGTCTAAACCAGAGCAAGAAACAAAAAAAGAAAAGAAAAGAAAAGAAAAGAAAAGAAAAGAAAAGAAGAGAAAAGAAAAGAAAAGAAAAGAAAGGCAGTAAGCACGTGGAAAGCACAGAGCAAAGGAGGCCTTTCTTCCCACAGTTGGAAGAGGAGGACCAGGATCAGAAAAGGACGGAGTGTAGCCCTTCTATAGGTCCCCTGCCTCTGCCTCTTCCTCAGTCAGTTCCAGTTATTTGTCGGGAGTCAGCCCACCATGAACTCTTGAATGCAGGACCCTAAGTCAGGGTGGACTCGCTAAAAAGGAATAAGTTATTAGCCTGAACTTCAACCCCTGGGCTTCAGGGCTTCTTGCATGGGTACTGCTGCTTGGCTGAGTATCGGGAGGCTCCAGATGGTGAACATGTGATTGTCACAGAAAGTTCTTTTAGAGAGCACTGACCGTTACAGAAACTCCGAAGAAGAGGGAACTGGGAAGGCTTTTCCAAGGAGGCGGCCCTCAAGTTAGTTATTGTATGTATGTATGTATGCATGTATGTATGTACGTAGTATATATTATGTATGTATTTTTTTTTCAAGACAGGTTTCTCTGTGTAGCCCTGACTGTCCTTGGAGCTCACTTTTGTAGACTAGGCTGGCCTTAACTCAGAGATCCACTTGCCTCCCAAATACTGGCATTAACGGTGTACAGCCCCACCAACTCGCAGACCCCAACCCCATCTCAAGCTAGTTCTTTTTGGTTTTGTTTTAGGTTTTGTTTTTCATTGTTGTTTTGTTTTGTTTTGTTTTGTTTTGTTTTAAAGACAGAGTTTCTCTGTGTATCAGCCCTGACTGTCCTGGACCTTGCTCTGTAGACCAGGTTTGCCTTGAACTCGCAGAGATCCACCAGCCTCTGCCTTTCAAGTGTTGAGATTAAAGGTGTGTGCCACTACTGCCTGGCTCAAGCTAGTTCTTAAAGGGCTTGGAGATTTGGAAAATAAGTGGAAGTCATTCTAGAGGTAGCTGATGATGAGGAAGCAGGAAAATTCTGCTCAGTTCCAAAATAGACAGGCTACTAAGAGGGTGTCAAACAGGTGAATGTGTGAACAAATGGAACTCCACACCGTCTAGTACAGTTCATGACAGTGTTTGTGTATGTAAAATTTATGTGTTCGTATGCACATGTGTCTAAATAGGCACACTGTGTGTCTCAGGGATGGGAAATGACAGAGAGAAGACATGGTCAAGAAAATTGTTTGGCCTCGTGAAAGCTTCTGCATTTAAATTGCAGGCTGTTTGAGAGCTAGGAACCGAATGGCAGGATAAAAATGGTGCTTGGAGGTGCTGGAGAAGTGACTCAGCAGTTAGGAGTACTTGCGGCTCTTCCAGAAGACCTGAGTTCAGTTCCCAGCACCCATGTCATGTCCAGTGACTCACAATTGCCTGTAACTCTAGCTCTGGAGAACTTGATGCCCTCTTCTGACCTCTTCAGGTACCTGTGTGCACACATGTGCATGCAAGCGCACACATACACAGAGAGAGACAGAGAGAGAGAGAGACAGAGGGGAGAAAGAGAGAGAGAGACAGAGACAGAGAGAGAGACAGAGACAGAGGGGAGAAAGAGAGAGAGAGACAGAGACAGAGACAGAGAGAGAGAGAGAGACAGAGAGAGAGAGAGAGAGAGAAGAGAGGAGAGAAAGTAATTCTTTTTAAATGGTGCTTGGAACTGGGTGTAGTAACATTCATTGGTAATCCCAGAACTTGCGAGGCGAAGACAGGAGGCTCACTATAAGTTCAAGGCCAGCCTGGTTTGCATAGTGAGATCTTAGCCCAAAACAACAACAACAATAATGGCGCTTAGGAACAGAAGCAGGGGAGTCAAAGGTAGACCCTGACAACTTTACTGGTACAAAATGAGGGTGTCTCCATTTCTGAGATTAGG